ATAGTTAGTATGATGTAATTATACTAGTATTAATAATATTAAGATTTTTTTCTATATAATCTTTATATAAATAATAAAATGATGTAAAACCATAATATATAATTTCTTTATTAGAAATTTTAAGTAGTTGAAAATTCAATAAGATTATATAAAATAATTTGTACTTTGGAATTCTTTGTACTTAATCGTTTTGAATCTAATATACGTTGAATTTAACAAATGTAACCTTCGTAAAAGAGAATTGTTGAACAATATATTAAATAGCAGTCTAAAAAGATACAAAACATTGGCAATATGTTGTTTGATAGAGTTAATCATCAAACATTGACATTTATTAACTTTTAAGATTTAAGAATTTCTTCTCTCCATATTGCAGGTATTTCTTCTATTATAGGAGCAATTAATTTTATTGTAACAATTTTAAACATACATATTAAAACCCATTCATTAAATTTTTTACCTTTATTTTCTTGATCAGTACTAATTACAGCTTTTCTTCTCTTACTTTCTTTAGCTGTACTAGCTGGAGGAGGTGACCTTATTCTTTATCAACACTTACTTTGATTCTTTGGTCATCCTGAAGTCTATATTTTAATTCATCCAGGATTCGAAATTATTTCTCACATTATCATTAACGAAAGAGGAAAAAAGGAAATTTTTGGATCATTAGGATTAATCTACGCTATAATCGCTATTGGTTTATTAGTTTTATTAGTTTTATTAGTTTATTTATTTATTGTTTGAGCTCACCATATATTTACTGTAGGTTTAGATATTGATACTAATTATAATTATTGCTATTCCTACAGGAATTGAAGTATTTAGCAACCATTTACGGATCAAAAATTTTATTCTCACCTTCGATAATTTGAAGAGTAGGTTTTATTTTCTTATTTACACTTAGTGGATTAACAGGAATTATTCTTTCTAATTCATCCTCCGATATTATTCTTTATGATATTTACTATGTAATTAGTCATTTCCACTATGTTCTTTCTATAGGAACTATATTTGCTATTTTTGCTGAATTTATTCATTGATTCCCTTTAATTTTTGGATTTTCCTTAAATAAACTTTTACTAAAAATTTAATATTCTTTTATATTTATTGGAGTTAATTTAACCTTCTTTCTTCATCATTTCTTAGGATTATCTGTTGTGTCAGGATTATCTATTTTCACGTTGTTACTCTGATTAGCCTGATATATATACTTCATGAAACGTAATTTCATCAATTGGATATATTATTTCCTTTATTCTAATAATTCTTTTTATTTTTATTATTTGAAAATCATTTATATCATAACGTAATATTTTATATAAATTTTTTATATCATCCAATTTAGAATGAAATAATTCATAACTACCAATTAATTAATATTACGAACGAATTTCCTATACTACAAATTAATAATATTATTATAATATAGCAAATTAGTGCATTGATTTTAAACATCAAATATAAAAAATATTTATATTTTTTTATTATAAATTCAAACATGACTAAATTTTTATATTCAAGATTCAAATACTCCTAATATAAATCAATTAATTTTTTTTCATGGTTATTCTATATTAATATTAATCCTTATTACAAGATTAATTTCTTATATATTTATTTTTCTAATTATTAATAAAATTACTAATCGATTCATTATTAATGAACATTTTACTAAAACAATCTGGACTATTACTCCTATAATAAATCTATTTAATTGCTATCACCTCATTAAAAATTTTATATATAAGAGAAGAATTCTTTTCACCAACTTTAACTGTTAAAGCTATTGGCCATCAATGATACTGAAGTTATGAACTATCTGATTATAAAAATATTAACTTTGATTCTTATATACTTCCTTTTAAAAAAAATAATTCATCTCAATTTCGACTTTTAGATGTTGATAATCGATTAATTCTTCCTTTTAATATACCCATTCGTATTCTCACAATATCTACAGATGTAATTCACTCATGAATCATTCCAGCTTTAGGAATTAAAATTGATGTCACACCGGGACGTATAAATCAAACATTTATTGACATAATTCGTCTAGGAATCTTTTTTGGTCAATGTTTTGAAATTTGTGGTATAAATCATAGATTCATACCAATTATAATTGAATCAATTTCCTTAAATTCTTTTATTAATTGAATTAATAATATGTAAATTAAATAAATTATATAACCCATAAGACACTTTAAAGAAGTAAAAGTCTCTTAAACTCTTAATGGTTATAAATAATTAACCCTTAATGATAATTTCAATCTTTCTACTAATTTAATTATTATTCTTATTTAAATTGATTTATTAAAATTAAATTAACTCAAATTTATTATAAATTAATAAACTCATTTTTATATTTTTTAATTATACTCTATTCTTAACTATGTAAAAGATTAATTAATTTATAACATTTAAATGTCATTTAAAAATTATTAACTTTATTAATATTTTTTTATTCCTCAATTAAGATCTTTAAAATGATTCTATTTTTATTTTTTTACTATCATTATTTTATTAATTCTATTTAATTTATATTAATTTATATTAATACTAATTAAAATAAATTATTTTTTTGTAAATAAAATAGATAAAAAAAAATATTAATAAAAAAAAATATCAATTAAAATGAAAAATCTAACTTAACTTAAATGATAAGAAATTTATTTTCTTTTTTTGATCCATACACTTCACCCAATTATTTATTAAATTGATTAAGATTATTTATTCCCTTTTTATTTTTCCATAATCAATTGTATTTAATAACCTAAAATATTTATATTTTGATTCTCTATCAAGGAATTCTTATTAAAAGAATTTAATAATTGAAAAAAAAAATAATTTTACTAATATTATTATTCTTTTTTCTATGTTTCTTCTTCTTTCGATGAGGCCTGCGATCACGTGCCAATTTCAATTCTTCACTTAGCTGTTTTCTTTTCCGTTCCCTCCAATATTCCTTCATCTTTTCACTATGCTGTTTCTTTCTGTCCTCAGACCACTTTGCACCAGGTTTCTTCTTCAATCTTCCTTGGAATCCTTCCATATTTAATATCCTCTTTCTAAAAATCTCTCTGTCTATAGTTTCTTCCTCACTTATATTATTTCTTTCTAGATTTTTCTTTACCTCTTGAATTCAGCTAGTTGTTGCCTTTTTCTCCCAAAGGTACATGAGTATTCTTTTTGTTAATCTGGAATCATCCATTCTGTAAATATGGCCAAAAAATAGCAGTCTTTTTTTCCTTATCGTTTCTGTTATGCCTTCTATATTCCTGTATATTTCATCATTAGATCTTAATTTCCATACTTCTGTTGTTTTCACGGGACCTAAAATTTTCCTCATGATTCTCCTTTCTAGTACTTCTAGTTTATCTAATTTATAATTTAGTACCAAGCATTCACTCGCGTATAAGCATTCTGTTTTCACTACTGTAGCGTAGTGCCTTATTTTAAGATTTTTAGATAAACACCTTTCGTTGTAAAAATTCTTAGTTATACCATACGTCCTTTCCATCTTGCGTACCCTTTCTTCTATTGCAGATTTTTCTTGAATTATTTCTCCCAGGTATTTGAATTTCTTTACTTTTTCCATTAGACCAATATCTATAGATAAAAATTTTGGAACGTTCTTGATGTTTATAATAAATTTAGTTTTCAAACCTGCTTTGTTAGCTATTTCTTCCAAGAGATTGATTTGTTACACTTTTTAGGTTGTCTGACATTATAGCAAAATCGTCTGCAAATGCTAGGCAACTTATTTCAATGCCTTTGTTTTTTCTCCCCAAAGTTACTGGTGAAATGTTTTGTTCTTTTAGCTTTATCTTCCAAATTTTGACAATTTTTTCTAGAACACAGTTGAACAGAAGAGGTGATAAACCATCACCTTGCCTGTATTTATCTCAATAGGTTTAGATATCTCACCCATAAATTTTACTTTTGAAATCGTGTCAGTGAGTGTTTCACGTATTAAGTTTGCTAATTTATTATTAACTCCAAATTCACGTATTGTTTTATCTATGGTTTCTTTATCAATCGAGTCAAATGCCTTTTTAAAATCTATAAAAGTTACAACTATGTCCTTTGAATTCAGTATCCTATGGCGAATTATGGATTTTAAGTTAAAAATTTGTTCTGAACAAGATCTACCTTTTCGAAATTCAGCTTGATACTCGCCCAGTTGCTTGTCAAGTGTTGTTTCTATTCTATTCAGCAATATTTTTGAGATTACTTTGTATGCAGTTTGCAGAAGAGAGATGCCTCTATAATTATCAACGTTCTGTTTGTCCCCTTTTTTATGTAATGGGTGAATTAGAGCTACTTTCCACTCTTCTGGAAACCTCTCTGTTCTCCACATATCTTCAAAGATTAACTTCAGCTCTTCAATGATTTTTGATTGAGACCATTTCAAAAGTTCAGCTGTTATATATGTCTTCTCCACTAGCTTTATTATTTTTTAGATTGTTAATTGCTTCCTTAATGTCTTCAGCATTGGGTAGTTTATCTTCTTCCAGATTTTCAGTTGTTTCAGAGAATTCCAATTTATGTTTTGGTTCATGGCAGTTTAAAAATTGATTAAAGTGTTTCGCAAGTATTTCACAGTTTTCCGCATTGCTTAGGCCAAGTTTACCATTTTCATCTTTGAAACATATGCTAGGCGCTTCATACCCCTTTAATTGACTCTTAAAAGTCTGATAGAAATTTCGTGAATTATTTTTAACAAAGTTTTTTTGCATGTCGATAAGTTGTGATTTTTCAAAAGATCTTTTAACTTCCCTTATTATTCTAGCAGTGTCTTTCCTTTGTTGTTTGAATTGGTCATGATATTCAGTCTTTCCCGGGCATTTCCACTTTTTCTATTGTTTTGTTCTATCCTGTAATGCATTTTCACATATTTGGTTCCACCAAGGTTTTTTTCTATGCTTGGATAGTCCAAATGTTTTCTGGGCTGCGTTCGTTATTTTTTTAGATAAATCTTGCCACTTCCCTTGATGTTACTTTTATTTCTTCCTGAAATGTTTCTGAAGTTTCTTGTATAATTTTGTATTGTACTTATTTATTTTTTCCCCTCTTCTGTGATTTCTGTTGGGTAAGAATTTGAGTTTAATTTTAGATAAATAGTGATCAGAGTCAAATTCTTTGCTTATTATTATCTTGACATTCATAATTTCCGTCATGTTTCTTTTGGATATAGCTACATGATCTATTTGAAATTCACCTAGCATTGGATTTGGAGAAATCCATGTTTTAGCTCTTCTTGGCAATTTCCCGAAGAAAGTCGACATTACCTTCATTTGAAAGTTTTTACAAATAGTAATCGATCTCATCCCATTTCTATTTGTTCTTTGGTGTGCAGCATATTCTCCCACTATTGGTCTATGAATTCTCTCTCTTCCTATTTGGGCATTGAAATCTCCAAGTAATATTACTTCATTTGATTTTGGAATTTTATACATTTTATGGTCCAGGAGGTCCAAGAATCCCTCTACTTTATTTGGGTTCTTCTTGTTATCTTTATTTATTGGTGCATGACAATTAATAAAAGTGTATAATTTATTTTTGCATTTCATTGTCAAAAGAGACATCCTTTCTGAGCGTGTTTTGAATTCAGTTACACAGTTTAATAATCTTTTATGGATATAAAAGGCTGTTCCCAAGATTGGCATTCCTTTCATAATTTTAATCGCAGGTTTGCCTTTAAAGATTCTATAATCGTTTGTTTCTGTCACATTTTTATCCAAAAATCTTGTCTCCTGTACTGCTAAAATTTGTATATCGTTTTTATCCAGAAGTAGTTCTAATTCTTTTTGTTTACCAACCTTCAGCAAAGAATTTACATTTAAAATTTTCTATGTTTATAATAATTTTAATTATAAATTTTATCGGACTATTCCTTTATTTTTAGATCTTCAAGACATTTATAAATTATTTTACCTCTATCATTAACAATTTGATTAAGAATTATATTATTTTATTGATTAAAAATAACAAACTTATCATTTGCCCATTTAGTTCCACTTAATATACCTTGATCTTTAATAACATTTATAATTTTAATTGAAACAATTAGAAACTTAATCCGACCTATAACATTAGCTATTCCGATTTATAATATTAGGTATATTTATCAGCTAAAATAATTACAGGCCATCTTCTTTTATTTCTTTTAGGATCAACAGGACCTTCAATAAATATAAAGTTAGACTATTAATTTTTACACAAATTATTTTATTTATTCTTGAATTAGATATATCAATTATTCAATCTTATATATTTATAATTCTTATATTTCTTTACTCAAATGAATTATAAATAAAAATGAACAAATTAAATCATCCTTATCACATAGTTACAATTAGACTATGACCTTTAATTTCATCTATTAATATACTTTTTTTAATTAATTTAATTAAATGATTTTACTTTTTAAATATTAACTTAATAATTTTATCCACTATTACTTTAACACTATTTTTAATTCAATGATGACGAGATATTGTGCGAGAAAGAACATTTCAAGGAATACATACATCTAATATCTTAACAAATCTAAAAAGAATAATCCTTTTTATTACATCAGAAATTTTTGTTATTTCTTTATTCCGAGCATATTTCCATTCTTCCCTATCTCCAAGAATTGAAATTAGTATCCTATGATCATCAAAAAATATTATTATATTCAATCCATATGATGTCCCTCTATTAAACTCAATTATTTTAATTACATTTGGAATAACGATTACTTGATCTCATAATTCTTTAATTAATAAAAAATTAAATATAGCAATTATAACACTTTTTTACATAATTTGTCTAAGATTCACATTTTCTTTATGTCAATTTTTTGAATATAAAAGAGTTCCATTTATTATTGCTGATTCAGTTTTTTGGATCAATTTTTTTTCTAACTATAGGATTCTACGGAATCCATGTTTTTATTGGAACAATCTTTCTTTTTGTATGTCTATTACGTATAATTAATAAACATTTTTCTAAAATTCATCACTTTGAATATGAAGCAATTATGTGATACTGACATTTTGTAGATATTGTATGATTATTTGTTTATACATGATTATACTGATGATCATTTTATTTACATAGTATATTAATTACATTTAATTTCCAATTAAAAAAATTATTAATTTAATAATAATATAAGTAATATTATTTATTATTATATCTTTTATTCCTTTTTTCTTACATCTCTTTTAATTTCAATTAATATACTTCTATCATTTAAAATCTATCAAGACCGAGAAAAACCTTCCCCATATGAATGTAGATTTAATCCTCTTACTTCACCACACTTATCTTTCTCTATTCAATTTTACTTAATTGCAGTAATTTTTTAAATCTTTGATATTGAAATTCTACTAATATTACCTTTTATTCCAACTTTAATTATCAATAATAATTTATTTTATTGATTCTTATCATTTTTATTAATTTATATTTGCTTAATTATTGGATTATATTACGAATATATTATAATTATTGGATTATAGTACGCATGCACTACTAGCTAAAGCCTGAAAAATCCCAAATAATTAAAGATATCCCCGAATGACCTCCTTTATTCGAAATACTTTCGATCAAATCACAAAAAAATTAGAAAAAATTAAATTATTGCATACTGGTATAGCTAATCTCTCAGATCGAATGAAGATACTTCTACTTACAATTACGTATCTAAAGATAATCCAATTATTTAACCCATTTGAATCCAAGCACGGATATATCCGCGAGCTGCGACTGTCTTACTGAGCGTGGATATATCCACGAGCTGCAACTGTCTTACCGAGTGCGGATATATCCGCGAGCTGCGACTGTTTTACCGAGTGCGGATATATCCGCGAGCTAAGACTGTCCTTTATTACCAAGTGCGGATATATCTGCGAGTCTGCAACTGTCCTTTATTACCGAGCGCGGATATATCCGCGAGCCCGTGATTGCCTTTCATTACTAGTTACCGAATATTCTTCAGATGTGATGTACTTACGACCGACTACGCGCGGTGATACGGGCCGATCATAAATTGAACATTGCTGATTTTTGAATACGGCACATTAAGTAGATGCATGATGCAAATTGGTTAAGATGAAATAAAACATGGTAGCTAAGTACAAACTATTAATACCAATTAAAGAGATAACTTGATACTATTATTTTGAGCCTAATTTTAAGCCTACAGTATTTTTAAAGGAAAAGTATTAGGATGAAAAAGGAGAGAAAAATTTAATGCAAGCTATATTCCTTTTCAAAATTTCTTAGAATATATAATAAAATTAGAAAATATTGGACGTACTTGGTTATTTTAGCATAATACAATATCATACTGAATGAAAAATTGAACAAATTGACATGTAAGTTAACATGTTAATATATAAGTTAACAAGTTAAAGATCATGAATTTTTCTTTTGTGATATAAAAGAGCTTGTTTGGAATACTTATTTTCAAACATATCTCGTAGGGAAAAGAAAAGTATCTTAAAATATTTCCGTTTCAAAATATTTCCATAAGCTCATATAAAATGACGATTTTGTTGAGAAACTGTAAACTCAATTTGAACAAAAATAAGTTCCCGCTCCTTTTATAGTCAAGGCCAGCTTCGGCCATCTTGAACGATGTATCGATCCAATGTATCGATTCCTGTCGATTTGAATAAACACTTCTTACAGGAGAAAAAAACAGAACGATATAGATTTGTTTAATTAATATCCCATGTGCATAATCCTGTTCCATCAGATCTTCTTTTATTAAATATTTTATTATCTATTTATAGTTAACAATTATTTTCTTGTGATATCCTCTTTTTTTTAATTTTCAAGGCTTTACCATAGGATACATAAAACATTGACACTTATCTCCTGCGTATTTATTGTGATCTCATGAACTATGTTTTTCGAATTACTTGGAACGTTTGGATATGGATAAAGAAAGTAATTTGGGTGGCCCAGAAAAAGGTGAACAAAAAAAATAATGTAATGTCCATACAACGATGTGAATATAAGTAAATATTATTTACTTAGATTTTTAATTTAGATTATTTTTTTACAAAATAAAATTTGCTAACAACGAACCAATGGACATTGATATATGATCAATGAACTGCTTAATTCGCAATGTAGAGCATTGACTTTTTGCAAGATAAAAATGCCGATATATCCATCAACAAATGGATGGATTTGTGCATTATATTATACTAATAAATTAACATAACAATTATACATAACAAGAAGTTGTAAAATGTGATTTTATTAACGCAATTTAATTGTATATTTGAGAAAAGGTTCGAAATACAAAAAAAGGAGTTTTATAATAGAACGACGTTTTACTAATTGGAAGAGATCCTAGCTTGCTCGTATGATGTTCTTTAGTATTCACATCAATTCCCACACTTTGTCTAATAAGCTAATAGGCTACATAAATTTTTCAGGTTGAATTCATACTCGACAGACGGAATACATAAGAATCAAATCTTAATTGAGACGAATTCGAGGTATGAAAGATTTTTCCGCTTTGTTTTGCGCCGACAATCATGAATGCAGCCGTTGGTCGATTACGTGAAAAGCTAAAACCTCATTCGATTCCGCAGAAACTGGATTCTATCGACGCTGTTTAATACGAGTAATGATGATATAATGTTGATATTCGTTAAATTATAATGAAGAATTAATGTTTATCAGACCCGCGTCATTCTCCGATGAATCGATAATGATCGCGATAAAGATTCGTTAGAAGTGTTATAGTTCTGGAAATGTTATTGCATTCGGTGGACCGAATTAGATAAGAAATTCACATCAATTCCTAAACCTTTCAATTTAACGTTCGTGGCGAAAATAGAATTCATACTCGGCAATAGAGAGTTAATAAAACATTTACTATAATCATTTTAATGGACTCTTTGAATAATTTTATCAAACAAAAAAATTTTTTATCGGCTCACTAACGATAAAATAATTTAAAACGATCACATTTCATGATATTCACCTGATATTATATTTATATACCCACATATATACGCATATATTACTTTGTTCTCTCCAATTAATCGCAACGATCATCGATCTGACACTTCATTAATTATACAAAATAATTTTTATTTTACATGTCGCAGTGTCTAAGAAATTACAAATAATTGTAGTATTAAAAGATATAATGGATAATAGGATAGATATATGATGTTAATATTATCTGTAAAAGAAATCACAGGCCAAGGAAATATTATAAGTGTCGGTTATTTATTTAAAGCAAAAAGAACAATTGAATAAAATAGAGGTCTGTCGTACATTGATTCCGGTCTTGGACTGTCCCTTCTGTCACTTACAATTAGATATCTTATTTACTACTTACTACAATCATTCACGCTGCTCAGTCCTACACTTACAAACTCTTAACACCATGTCTATGTACAAAATACTGCGCACAACATTCTTAAATGCAACGATCACTCTAAGTATTTGCTCACTATGTCTAAACTTATTTTTAAGAAATATTTCTACCACTATCTATTGGTTGACATCTAATGAACGTTCAGAATGCATTTACAACCTTATCCTAAACTTATAATTTATCGCTCTCAAAAATTCTATCTTTAAAGAAAACTTAAGTACAAAAATACATATAATAAAATAAGTTTACAAACTATTTTTATGATCCTGTATAATCGACGATAGTGTCAAATGATCTCGTTTATTTGGAGAGAATATTTTCACGATCTGATCAAGTAAGGATTTAAAAAATAAATTAAATTAGTATGTGCTCACTTGTATACATACTTAATTTTTCAGATCCGATAAAGATTCTTTCATGTACAATTAAGTATGTAAGGGTAATCCAATCACTTATGATGAAATGAAAGACATTATTGCTAAGTACAGATTATTACTTCCGATTGAAGATACAGTTTGGTACTATAATTTTACGATTACAAAATATCAGCCGGTCTATCTCTTTTATATGTACTTGCTCCATTTATTACTAGTCTTTATAATCTTTTACAGTCTCTTATCTTATTTTCTAATGAAAAAATATTAGGATGGGAAAAGAGAAAAAACATTTATGCAAGCAATATTTCTATTCGTTCAAGATTTTTAAAATACATAATAAAAATCACAAAATGTCGGATGTATTCCATCAGTTTTTTACGATCGAATGAAAAATTACGAATGGAAGATGAAATGAACTGACAAGGAATCTAACAACAAATGATCGTGAATAGATTCTTCTGTGATATAGAATACCTCGTTTGGTATATATATTTTCAAACATGTATTTGTGAGATAAGAATATGTATCTTAAAGGATCCCATTGAAATGTTTTCACCTCATATAAAATGGCAAATGTATCTTCTTTCTCATTTTCTTCATTCATAGTTTGTCTATCATTAACAATGAATTTCGTATCACATATTCATTTTTTGAATTTTTAAAGTTTTACTGAATGCATCAAACATTGAAACTTGTTATCGCTTGTGTCTTTCTTACCATCACATAGGATATGGTTTACAGACTAATTGTAACATTCGGATCTTCTTGAAAGAACCACGCGGAAGATGATAGGATAATCATAATTTACATTTTCACCAAAGTACGAGTCAATGATTTCTTTTATTTAAGGTAATTACCTGCTTTTCCTATGGACTTGCAAGGATTTAGGCCTTGAATTTTCATGGTCTCAATTTTTATCTGATTTTAATGATGAAGGTCTCATTCAAAAGATAAAGGATTTTTATAAGAAATAATAGTATCCGATTTTTGAAAAATGTTATTTTCTTTGCAAGAATTATATATAAAAATAGATAATTTTCAAGAATAATTTTCAAATGAATAAAATCCTGTTTTAAAAATTGGGCAGCCTTGTCTTGTGTAAAAACCCTTTATCTTTCAAATGAATCCTTGATTATCAAAATCGGACAAAAATTATAA